ATGTCCCCCAAAGGAGGTCCCACCCTCCCGCCGCAGCCCACCAGTTGGTGGCCTGGGCCTCCCTCTTTGGAGCGATCGTGGAGCCCCCCAGTTGATCGATTGCAGTGGCCTGGGCTTCCCTCTGCAGGGTGATCATGTGATCAATTGCACCCCACAGAGGGAGGGCCACCTACCTGCTGTAGCCCACCGGTCGGTGGCCTGGGCCTCCCTCTTTGGGGTGATTGTGGAGCCCCCGGATTGATTGATTGCCCTGCTGGCCAGTGGCCTGGGCCTCCCTCTGCAGGGTGATCATGCGGTGATGGTTGGGCCCCCGACCAATTGCATCGCACCCACCTTGGGTGGCCTGGTGCCAGTGGGTGTCATTGCGTGGTTGTCCAGAAGGTCATCTGGATGGTCGTTTTGCTGTTTGGTCATTCAGTTGATTTGCATATTACGCTTTTATTATTATTATTACTAGAGGCATAATGCACAAAAATCCCCTGATCAGCCTTCCTGCCCTAACTGGTTTGGCTCCGTGGACAGAGTGTTGGTCTTCGGACTGAAGGGTCCCAGGTTTGATTCCAGTCAATGGCACATGCCTGGGTTGCGGGCTCAATTCCCAGTGGGGGTCATGCAGGAGGCAGCTGATCAATGATTCTCTTGCATCATTTATGTTTCTCTCTCCCTCTCCCTTCCTTTCTGAAGCCATTTTAAAAAAAAGAAGAGTAGGCCTTCCTTCTCCCAGCTGCTGGCACCGGCTTCCAACTGGCATCCAGGATCCGGGCTGGCTCCTTTCGGCCGTCCGCAGGCACCCAGGAACAGGGCTGGCTTCCCCCGGGCCACCTGCAGGCATTCGAGACCTGGGCTGGCTTCCCTCGAGCCTCTCGCATGCACCTGGGACCCCGGCTGGCTGGCTTCTGGGCTGCCCACAGGCACCCGGGACCCGGGCTGGCTTCCTCAGGGCCACCCTCAGGCACCTGGGACCCAGGCTGGCTTCTCCAAGGCTGCCTTCCCTGGGCCACCCGCAGCACCTGGGACTCTGGCTGTCTTTCTCTGGGCCGCCCACAGGCACCCAGGACCTGTGCTGGCTTCCCTGGGCCGCCTGCAGGCACCCGGGAACCAGGCTGGCTTCCCTCAGGCCCCGGCTTCTTCAGGAAGGATGTCGGAATGACGTTTGGAAGACATCTGGTCTAATTAGCATGTTAACCCTTTTATTATTATAGACTAGAGGCACAGTGCACAAATATTCATCCATTGGGGGCGGTCCCTCAGGCTGGCCTGACCCCTCTCACAGTCCGGGAGCCCTCAGGAGATGTCCTACTGATGGCTTAGGCCCGCTCTCCAGGGGAAGTAGGCCTAAGCCGCAGTCTGGCCTCCCTCTGTGGGAGGTGACCGGGCTGATCAGGGGTGGCGCCGTCCCTATCACCCCACCGCCGCTGCTGCTGCCTCTGGCCTCCCTCTGTGGGAGGCGACCGGGCTGATCAGAGGAAGGCACCGCCCCATCACCCCACTGCTGCTGCCACTTCCGGCCGCCAGCCCTCCTTGGCCCTCGCAGCCACTGTGGCTTTGTCCAGAAGGACGTCCGGAAGACGTCCAGTCTATCCTGTCTAATTAGCATATTATCCTTTTATTAGTATAGATAGATTACTCCACAGATTTCTGAAGTTCAGTTCCCTTTTCCTCATTTTTTTCCCTTCTGTGTTCTTCAGATTTTATGTCTGTTTAGCTGTCTTTAAATTCACTGTTTCTTCTTTCATTTCTATGTCGCTATTGAGCTCAACTAATAAATTTTTTAATTCTGGTATGATAAAGTTCTGAAATTCCCAGTTATGTTCTTTTGAAAACTTTTACATTTTTCTCATGAGAATTTCTGTCTTTCCCTTTGCATTTATTTACAGTTACTTCATGAAACACAGTTAAAAATTCATTTTGTGGATCATCTAAGGGTTGGTATTTTTCTTGACACTTAGTCATATTTTTCTGATTCCTCTCGCCCCCGCCAGTGACCCCCCCCCAGCCCTCCCCCGCCCCCCTCCCCAGGCCCTCACCACCCCAGTGGCCATGGATATATGCATACAAAGACCTTGGCTGATTACCTCCCACTCACCCACCCTCTCCCAACATCCCTCCGAGATTCTGCACTCTGTTCCATGCTTTCATGTCTCTGGATCCGCTCGGTTTATCAGATTATTTTGGTACTAAGGTTCCAAATTTAAGTGAGATCATGTGAGAATTGTCTTTCTCTGAAAAGAGTATTTCACTTAGCAATAAGGTCCCTCCATGCTGGCGCAAAGGGGAAGAGATGAGGTTTTGTTATTTTTTATTGACTGCGGAATAGAAATGTGTCTCATTCATTAAGGAAAGGAACAAACAACTAAAGGCCCTGAGCCTAGAAATTACTGAGACCGGTTTTAAAGGTTCCCTAATCATAAAGTTTCTAATGAAACCGAAACTCTTTTCTCCTGTAGCCTTTCCAGCTCACTATCAAGAGATTTGAATACTTCTATTAAAGCAGTTTAGAAGCATATAGGAAGCCACCTAATCCTTGAATGGTGACTTCTGCCCAATATGCAGCCTCTCCTTCCTTTGTTAAGAATGCAATCCGAGTGAATATGCTGTGGGAAAAATAGTAATTTATATAGTGCCGCCCTCTGATAAAAGGGAAACAGCACTCAAAGCAAAAGGCCACAGAGGGCTCATTGCAAATCCAGTAGGACTAAGAGAGGCCTTCAACTTTCCAAATAAACTTTGCAGCTGGATCCAGGTGGAACATTGCCCTGCAGTAAGGAGTAGTGTATATGCCAATGAGCGGACCCAGCTTCTAAGAACTGTTACAGTGGCTTCCTGAGTCATCTTCTCTCTCTCCCATTCATATAAGAGAAAATACACACCTTAGCCTTGATTCTCACTCTCCACAAATCCGTCTGTACAGAGGTGTTTGTTTCTAAGTCTAAAACCTCAGCACAGGGTTGAGACACTTCATGAAATGTCTCAACACAGGCCAGGGTAGTATGGTATTTTACTTTTTTTTTGATGCAATTATAAATGGTATGGTTTTCTTAGTTTCCCTCTCTGAGAGTTTATTATTGCTGAGTGAAAATGTAACTGTTTCTGAAAGGTTATTTTGTAACCTGCTACTTTACTGAATTCATTTATCAGTTCTAGTAGTTTTTTGGTGGAATCTTTAGGGTTTTTTATGTACAATATCATGTCATCTGGGAATAAAGAGCTTTACTTCCTCCTTTCCAATTTGAATGCTTTTGATTTCTTCTTCTTGTCTGATCACTATGGCTAGGATTTCCAGTACTATGTTGAATAAGAGTGGGGAAAGTGGATATCCCTGTCTTGTTATTGATCTTAAGGGAAATGTTTTAAGTTTATCCCTGTTGAGTAGGATATTAACTGTAGGTTTGTCATATATGGCCTTTATTATGTTGAAGTATGTGTCCTCTATTCCCACTTTGCTGATAGTTTTTAATCATAAATGGATGTTGGATTTTGTCAAATGCTTTTTCTGTATCTTTTGATATGATCATATGATTTTTGTCCTTCATTTTGTTTATCTCATGTATTACATTAATTGATTTGCAAATATTGAAACAACCGTCATCCCAGGAATACATTGTATAAAAAAGTGTATTTGTGATTATATCCTAAGTTATTTAAGGAATCATTTAATGTAATAATAAAATTACATAAACCTAATTTTTGCAGATGATTGAATTTTTAAACATGGTTTCACAAGAAGGAATGCTTGGAATCTCAGAGCTCTCCATCCTACTTTTATTCTTGTGTTTTGTTTTTTTAAAAAATATTTTATTGATTTTTTACAGAGAGGAAGGGAAAGGGATAGAGAGTTAGAAACATTGATCCGCTGCCTCCTGCACACCTCCTACTGGGGATGTGCCCGCAACTACGGTACATGCCCTTGACCGGAATCGAACCTGGGACCTTTCAGTCCACAGATTGACGCTCTATCCACTGAGCCAAATCGGTTAGGGCTATTCTTGTGTTTTGTTTTGTTTTCTCCTTAGATTTGTCTGCTGTTTTAAGTATAAAGATACCTGCTATATTTTAATGGTGCTGATATGATTACTTGAAAGAAGGAAACTCACTTTTTTTCCTTTGTAAACTTGCTTTTTCAAATACATTAAGGATAGAGAGTAAGGGGTGAAAGAAACAAGTATTCATACTTTAAATTGAAAACATGCTATCTCATTTAAATGTAATTAGAGGGGAAATTGATTTGAATCATTTATAAAACTGATTAAGGAGAGTCAAAGCATCAGATACATTTTATTATATATGTTAATTTTTTGAGATGTAAAACAATTGTAGCCACTTTATGAGAACAAGAAATTATTTTCTGTCTGTGGACTATTTCTTCTACTTCTTAAGGGTAACTTAAATGTTAAATTTCAATCTTTAAAGCTATGAATAACTAATTAGTCTCTTTGGAAGGATCTGAAATCTTTCTTTGTTTTACCATTCTGCAATGTCAAATAGAAATAATTTCATTGAGTTTCTGTGGTGGATTTTTCTGAGCAGAAGCTTTATTGCAGCTTAATATGTTTTAATAGGTATTTCACAATTGCGTTTAATGCTTGGTTAGTATTTTGATTGACTATACAGTTTTTATAAATTATTTGCAACATTAGTCATGTGTGCTTAAACATGCTGATTAAAGTTCTTTTGATTCAAGGAGTTCTAATTTTTTTTTTAAATATATTTTATTGATTTTTTACAGAGAGGAAGGGAGAGAGATAGAAAGTTAGAAACATCGATGAGAGAGAAACATCGATCAGCTGCCTCCTGCACACCTCCTACTGGGGATGTGCCCGCAACCCAGGTACATGCCCTTGACCGGAATCGAACCTGGGACCTTTCAGTCCGCAGGCCAACGCTCTATCCACTGAGCCAAACCGGTTTCGGCAGGAGTTCTAATTTTTAATTTATGTTTAGTACTATTAGTGACAAGGAATCCTTACCTTATTTTTAAATAAAATATTTTTCCCTCCTAGCAACATGTTGCAGAAGTTGCACACTTAACTGAGGTTCTCAAGGATAAAAACAAAGAAAGCAAGAGGCTAAGGTCTTCTTTTGATGCTTTGAAAGAATTGAATGATAACTTAAAAAAACAGGTAAGATCCATTTTAATATATATTAGATTATAAGACAATCTTGGTACTATATGGTTTATATTTAACAAATTATAAGTCAATCTTAGAACATCTGGCTAGAGAAATGTTTGATTAACTTTGCTTGTAGCTTTATTACAAAATACTTCCAATATAAAATATTCTTAAGCTTTTGCTTTCTCATCATCTGTTCTGGCAACCAGCTGAGAAGTTTGGCAAGCCGAAATTTTTAAAAATATAAAAGCAAGTACTATATTTAAAAACAAGCCAAAGGAAAAACCCCAATAACCTGGGGACTTTTAACTGCTTTTAAGTGCTTATTTAATATTCATTTATTTTGTGGGTATCTATTAATATACTAGGCACTGTACTAGAAGGAAGTCTTTACATTGTTCATACTCTTGTGAGTATACTAGTAGACTGGTATCATATTGCACTGTAATTATTTATTTATACTAGAGGCCCAGTGCACAAAAATTTGTGCACTCGGGGGGGGGGGGTGGTGTCCCTCAGCCCGGCCTGTGCCCTCTTGCAGTCTGGGACCCCTCAGAGAATGTCCACCTCCTGGCTTAGGCCTGCTCCCCGGGGGATCGAGCCTAAGCTGGCAGTCAGTCATCCCTCTGGCAGCCTGGGAGCCCTCGGGGGATGTCCACTTGCCAGCGGGGAGCAGGCCTAAGCTGCAGTCGGACATTCTTAGCACTGCTGAGGAGGCAGGAGAGACTCCCACCACAACCACTCTTCTGGTAGCCGTCAGCCTGGCTTGTGGCTCAGCAGAGCTCTCCTGTGGGGAGCACACTGACCACCAGATGGCAGCTTCTTGCATTTAGCGTCTGCCCCTGGTGGGTCAGTGTGTGTCATAGTGACCAGTCATTCCCAGTGGT